GTATACACACACAAAAAACGGAATATGACTCAGCCTAAAAAAAAGAATGAAATAACGCCATTTGCAGCAACATGATGGACCTACAAACTATTATATATCTGCTGTCACCCTGTTTGTTTGCATATATACGCTGAGCACATCATGAGAAGTGCTGGACTGAATGAGTTACAAGCTGGAATCAAGATAGGTGGCAGAAACATCAACAACCTCAGATATGCGGATGATACCATTCTAATGTCAGAACGTGAAGAGGAACTAAACAGCTTCCTGATGAGGGTAAAGAAGGAGAGTGAAAGAGCCAGCTTAAAACTAAATATTAAAAAAACTAAGATCATGGCATCTGGCCCCACTGTGCTATGCTTAGTTTCTCAGTTGTGTCCAACTCTTTGTGACCCCATGGGCCACAGGCCCCAGTCTCCTCTGTCCTTGGTTGGGTTTCTCCAGGCAAGAATACTGGAGTAGGTTGCCAAGCCCTCCTCCAGGGGGTCTTCCCCATCCAGGAATTGAACTGAGGTCTCCTGCACTGCAGGAGAGCTGAGCTACCAGGCCCCATTACTTCATGGCAAATAGAAGTAGTGACAGATTTCCTCTTCTTGAGTTCTAAAATCACTGCAGATGGTGACTGCAGCCATGAAATCAGATGACTGCTTCTTGGCAGGAAAGCTATGACAAACCTAGACAGTATGTTGAAAAGCAGAGACATTACTCTGCCAACAAAGGTCCATATAGTCAAGGCTATGGTCTTCCCAGTGATCACATACGGTTGTGAGAGCTGGACCATAAAGAAAGCAGAGTGCCAAAGAATTAATGCCTTTGAACTGTGGTGCTAGAGAAGACTCCTGAAAGACCCTTGGGACAGCAAGATCAACTCAGTCAATCTTAAGGCAAATCAACCCTGAATACTCATTGGAAGGACTGACGTTGAAGCTGAAGATCAAGTATTTTGGTCATCTGATGTGAACAGCGGACCCACTGGAAAAGTCCCTGATGCTGGGAAAGACTGAGGGCAGAAGAAAAAGGTGTCAGAGGATGAGATGGTTGGATAGCATCACTGATACAATGGACGTGAACTTGGGCAAACTTCAGGAGATGGTGAGGGACAGGGAAGCCTGGCACGCTGCAGTCCTAGCAGCTGCAAAGAGTCGAACACGACTGGGCTACTGACCAACAACATATATATCTGTGTGTATAGAAACACACAAAATGGAATATTACTCAGCTAAAAAAAGAACGAAATAATGCCATTTGCAGCAACATGATGGACCTAGAGACTATTAAGTCAAGCAAATATCATATTTCACTTATGATACAAATGAATTTATTTACAAAACAAAAATAGACTCAGAGACATAGGAAAAAAACTTATGGTTACCAAAGGAGATAATGGAGGGGCAGAGGTAATAGAAGGTTGGGATTAACATATACACACTGCTATGCATAAAACAAATGACAAGGACTTACTGTACAACACAAGGAACTATACTCAGTATCTAAAATGGAAAAGAATCTGAAATCTGTGTGTGTGTGTGTGTGTGTGTGTGTGTGTATAATTACACCTGATATACACCTGAAATTAATACAACATTGTACAAAATTAACTATACTTCAATTTTTAAAAGGTTAATTTTTTTTAAAAAAGTTATTCTGGCCTTGCCTAACAAAGTTTAAAAGGATCAAATTATTCAGCTATATCCCAAAACACAGCTCAAGAATATTTATAAGGATACAAAACTATAGAGCACCTACCACAGTAAAATTAACAATGTCTAGCATCCAATCAAAAATCAGCAAACATGAAATGAAGCAATAAGCAAGTGAGGATAAAAACAAATCAACAGAATTAAATTCATGAGTGACACCAATGACAGAATAGACAAGAATATAAAAATAATTATTTTAACTATATTTGTACAAAAAGGCAGAGAAATTCTTGTACATGTTAAAGATATGAAAGACATAAAAAAGATCTAAATCTACCTTCTGGACATGTAAACTAAAATGGAAGGGGCTCTCAGCAGATTACCCACTGCAGAAGAAAAGATTAATTAACTTAAAAGCACGGTGATAGAAAATCCTCAAAATAAAACACTGGGAAAAAAATGAAGACCAGAGTACCAGTGGTTTATGGGATGACATCAAGTAGCCAAATATACATATAAGCAGAGTCCCCTAAGGGGAAGAAAAGAAAATTTTTTTCTGAAGAAATTAGATAAAGATTTTCTAAAACTATGAATTTTAGACTAAAACAGTACAAAGAACAAATTATGACAATGTCATATCTCTTTCCCAAGTCCAAGGAAGACACTTCTATTTCACATTTCTATTCCAACCTTTACCCATTGAACTCCTCAAAACAACAATCTAAGCAGCTACACACTAGCTATAGGACCAGCAATTATTAAAACCTATTTACCAGCCTTGATATTCTGTTCCCTAGAAATGTACAATGGTTCAAACATAAAAGAGGATTAAGATTATCCTGCCTTGCTCCAGAATTATAAGACAGTACTGGAACAGTATAACATCAAGTCACTCTTTAAGAGACTGAACGGAACTATATCAAAATAACAGCAGCATGAATCACGATCTTTTTCTTTGCACTACTTTTCAATTCTCTACAACATGGCTGCAGCATTTTTAAAACTTGTATATCAATATAGTAGTTCTCAAAGTGTGCCATGCAATCCTTAGGGGTCTTTGAGACCCTTTCAGAGAGTTTGCAACGTTAAAACTATTTCCATACTACTACTAAAGACGTGACATGATTCATCTTTTCCACTGGGTTGACACTTGCACCAAAGGCACAGTGTCAATGGAGAGTTGTGTCTTGCTCGTGTTCTGGCTGAATCAAGGCAGGAGCCCTGAACTGTACACAGAGGCACCGTATTCATCACCAATACTTGCAGTAAAATCAAAAACAAAACGCTAGTTGCACTTCAGAATATCCTTGATGAAACAGGAAAGACCATTAATTTCTTTAAATTTTGAATATTGAGAATATTTTTTAAAATATTACATGTGACCAAATGAGAAGTACCCCAGAAGCATTCTTGCTGTATGAACAGTTGTCCTCACAAAAAGCATTTGTGCCATGTTTAGTTAGTTGAAGAAGTTGCTTTTTTGAGGAATATCTTCTTTTATAAGCCATTTTTAAAAGTACAATTCTGTAGCATTAAGTACATCCACAATGTTGTATAACTATCACCAGTACCCATGTCCAGAATTTTTCATCATTCCAAACAGAAACGTTAGCAATAACTACCTACTCTCCCTCTGCCCAGCCTCCTGGTAACCTCGTTTCTAACTTGTCTCTATGAATTTGCCTAGTCTAGATACCTCATATAAGTGGAATCTTACAATATTTGTTTCTTTGTATCTGCTATATTTCACTTAGTACAATGCTTTTAAGTTTCAGCCATGTTGTAGCATGTATCAGAATTTCTTTTTATAGCTGGATAATATTTCATCACATGAGTACATCACCTATTGCTTGTCCATTCATCTACTGAGGGAGATTTGTGTTGTTTCTACCTTTTGGCTATCAGGAAGAATGCTGCTATGAACACAGGTATACAAATATCTAAGGCCCTGCTTTTGATTCTTTGGGGGTAGATACTTAGTGGAATCAGTGGATCATATGGTAATTCCACTTCAACTTTCTGAGGAACCACCAAATTCTTTACAAAGTGATCACACTATTTTACATTTCCACCAGAAATGGAAAAGGATGCCAATGTCTCTTCACCAACTTTTGTTAGTTTCCCTTGTTTCATAATAGCCAGTGGTATCTTGTGGTTTTTATTTACATTTTCTTAATGACATGGAGCATCTTTTCATGCACTTATTGGCCAACTACATAACTTCTTGGGAGAAGTGTCTACTCAAATCTTTTGCTCATTTTTGAACTGGGTTTGTGTGTGTGTGTGTGTGTGTGTGTGTGTGTGTTTTCTGTTGAGCTGTAGGAGTTCTTTACATAATATGGATTTAAATCCCTTACCTAATACAGGCTTTGCAAATATTTTCTCCCAGTTGCAGGTTGTCTTTTCATTCTCTTGTTGGTGTCCTTTGATAGATGAAGTTTTTATATTTTGATAAAGTCCAGCTGATTTTTTTTTTTAATGCTTTTGGTGTTATAACTCAAGAAATCATTGCCTAATCCAACATCATGAAGATCTTCGCCTGTTTTAAGGGTTTGGTACTTAGCTCTTTAATTTAGGTCTTTGATCATTTAAAGCCAATTTTTATATGTAATATAAGGTGAAAGTCTAACTTCATCCTTTTAATTGTGGTTATCCAGTTTTGCTAACACCATTCATTGAAAAGACTTGGCATACTTGGTGAAAACTAATTGGTCATATGTATGAAGGTGTATTTCTGGGCTCTCTGTTTTATTCCATTTGTCTATATGTCTATCCCTATGCCAGTACCATATCGTCTTGATTACTATAGCTTTGTAGTAAAAGTTTTGATACCAAGAAGTGTGAATCTTCCACCTTTGTCCTTTTTCTAAATTATTTTGGTTTTTTAAAGCTCCTCAAGATTCTTAATAAATTTTAGGATTAGTCTGTCAATTTTTAACAAAATGGCAGCTGGAATTTTAACAGGAATTGCACAGGACCTTTAGATCAATGTGGGTAGTACTGCCATCTTAGCACTACTGAGTCATTACCAATCTATGAACATGACATGTCTTTATTTGGGTCTTCCTTAATTTCTTTCAGCAGCATTTTGTTGTTTTCAGTGTACAAATCTTTGACCTCTTTGGTTAAATTTATTCCTAAATACTTTACTCTTTCTGATGCTATTATATGAAATTGTTTTTTCTTAGTTTCATCTTTGGATTGTTTATTGCTGCTGTGTAGAAAGAATACGATTCAGTTTTGTGAAGTTTTGTGTTTGATCTTGAATCCTGTAACTCTGCAGATATCGTTTATTGGTTCTGGTAGTAGTGGGTTTTTTTAATGGACTCCTTAGGATTTTAAGCAAACAGATAGTTTTACCTCTTCCTTTTCCATGTAGGTGCTTTTCTTTTTTTTTGCTTAATTACTCTGGCTAGAACTTCATATGCTGAACAGAAATCATGTTGAATGGAAGCAGTGAAAGCAGACGTCCTTGTTTTCTCTCTTTTGAAAAAAAAAAAAATTACTTACTTATTTGGCTGTGCCAGGTCTTAATTGCGGCATGTGGGATCTAGTCCCTTGACCAGGGATTGAACTTGGGCCCCCTGCATTGGGAATATGGAATCTTGGCCACTGGACCACGAGGGAAGTCCCTTCTGATGTTAGGTGGAAAGCTTTCAGTCTTTCACCATTGAGTATAATGTTAGCTGTGGGATTTTCACATATGGCATGGAAGACCATTTTTGCTTGAAAGAATGACTAATAGACAAAGTATGGTTTACTCAGACTTGGCTATTTGGCAGTTTCTCCAAAATAAGCAAAGTGACTTGTCACTTCAAGGAAAAGAAGTGATCGCCCATCCTCCACTATGAGCTTAACAGCTTCCAAATGAAACTTTTCTAATATTTAACTAATGAATGTGATCATACAGTGATGTGTCAACACTTGGAAAATCTACAAAACCTAGTGAACCAATATTTTCCAAGTGATCAAGGGATGCTATAAAACCATGCATGGGTAAAAGATTCATTCCAAATGCAAGACAGACCAATGAATTTTGACGTAACTAAGTACAAAATGTTGTCTGAGGCAGTTTAAGACATTTGCGAAAATGGAGAGATACTTATTTTTTAAAATATTTCCCAAAGAGTTCCCTTGGGAACTAATGGTCAGTTTCCTTGATTGCCTAGTGGTTAGAATTCCAGGCTTTCACTGCTGTGGCACAGGTTCAGTACCTGTTCAGGGAACTATGATCCCACGAGCCACGTGATGTGGCCAAAAGGGAAAAAAAATTTTTTTTTCCTATTAAAATGTTTTCATGTTTAAAAAAATATTTTATGTTAATATGTAATGGGCTTATTATTAAATGTTATTTTAAGTATTTTCAATTTCTCGGTTTTAACAGTGAATATGGTAAATATTGATAGATATATAATCCACATACATGAAAGTTCTTTGAGGTCTTCTTTGAGGAAAAAACTATATCAATTAACAACTGCTCTATACAACAATGTAGATATTTGGTTTAAAACAAACAGTACCTTGGGCACTAATATTCAGCCAAACACCTACATTAGAATTTCTTAAGATCTTATTATCAATATTAACAATTAACCACAGTAATTTATGATTAACTGGTCTGCAAGTGCTGTCATATTATAGTTGTACAGGATGGTGTTAAGAACTAAATGTGACTCTTAACCTTCATTAAACTTCACCCTGTCCATCTGAGCCCAGTTCTCGCCTCTCAAGCAGAGAACTTAAGACTTTGACTAGGTTCACTGAATTCAACTAAACCTACCAATCATGTTACTACAAGAAATGGGAAGTTCAGGATTGTCCTTGTAAACCCAAGTTGTCACCTAAGAAGTATCACACCTTTTTCTTCTTTCAAAAAATAATTTGGTTGATTATATATTAATTGGAGAAAATTGAGAAAATATATAAATAAAAAGAAAATTAAAATTACCTCTAATTCCAATACCTAGAAATAATGACTGTTGATATTTTGGTATCATTCCTTCCATATTTTTTCTATATTTCTTAAATACATTTTACAAAAATGTGATCTTATTAGTTACAGATACAATTCTGTGGCCTCTTTTCCTTCATAAAAATATTACAGTCATCATGTTGTACATTATATCCCCAGGATTTATTCATCTTATAATTAGAAATGTGTACCTTTTGACATTTTCAATATTTCTTTAATATATTGCCTATCAAAAATATTTGACAAAAACTTTTATGTCTACATAGCACACCTTATCTTCTCTTGTGTATATAATTTATCTTATGTTGAACATTTAGGTTGTTTCCAATTTTTCCCTTTTATATACAGCATCTAAATGAATAGTTTTGTAACTGCATTTTAACCCAAATCACTTCTCTGTTCTTTCTGATAAATCACCCTCCAGAAAGGCTAAACCAGTTTCATTCTACCACAACCAGTTATGAGTACTCACATTCCTGTACCCCCAACCTTTGAAACATTAGTTATAAGTAGATTTTCCTTTTTTGTCTTTTGCCAATTTTACAAGCCAAAAGGAAATTTTTTACAACTAACAAGTTGATGGAAGGGCTTCCCTTGTAGCTCAGTCAGTAAAGAATCTGCCTGCAATCTACTTCTTTCATGGATTACTTATTTCCTTTGCTAGTTTTGTATTTAGAGAGAATTTGAGGAGGGGAAGGAAGGATATTTCTTTTTTTTTTTTAACTGAAGTACAGTTTATTTACAGTGTTGTATTAATTTCTGCCATACAGCAAAAAGATTCAGTTATACATATATATACATTTTTTAATTTTTTTCCATTAGTTTATCACAGGATATTAAATATAGTTCCCCATGCTATATAGTAGGACCTTGCTGTTTATCCATTCTATATACACTTGTTGGCATCTGCTAACTCCCAAATCTCACCCCATCTCCTTTCCTTTGGCAACCACAAGTATGTTCTCTATACCTGTGAGGGTCTGTTTTGTAGATAAATTCACTTGTGTCATATTTTAGATTTCACATCTAAGTGATATCATACAGTATTTATCTGACTTACTTCACTTAGAATGATATATCTAGGTCCATCTGTGTTGCTGCAAATGACATTATTTCATTCTTTTTTATGGCCAAGTACTATTCCATGATGTGTGTGTATGTGTGTGTGTGTGTATTCCACATCTTCTTTATCCATTTATTTGTTGAAAGATATTCAGGTTGCTTCCATATCTTGGCTATTGTGAACAGTGCTGCTATGAACATAGTGGTGCATTTATCTTTTTGAATTATTGTTTTCTCTGGATAAATACCCAGGAGTGGAATTGCTGGATCATACGGCAATTCTATTTTTAGTTGCTTTTTTTTTTTTTTAGGAATATCCATACTATTTTCCACAATGGCTGCACCAATTTACAATTCTACCAACAGCATAGCAGGGTTCTGTTTTAGAGAGAATTGTTTTGTTTTTGTTTTTTACTCTGTGTTGGCTATTTTAATCTATTCTCTACTTTCTTCCTTAGTTGTGACCCCTCTTAAGTCTCCTTTGATGATTTCTCTCCCCAACCAGAAGTCCTGGCTTTAAATACTATTCTGAATATTACCAAAATTCTCTCTCTATTCCAGATCTCTCCTTCTAAACTTCAAGCTCTAATATACCCAATTGCCTGCTTGATGTATCACCTTAGATGGCTCATGAGAATATTTCAAACTTAAAGCTGTCCAAAATGGAACTCTTAATTTCCCTTACTCTCAACTTAACTTTTCCCACCTCTACTCCGAATTCTCCATTTCAGTAAATGCTGCCACCAGTTGGCAGAGTTAATGACCACAAACCTACAAAGCATCCTTGATTCTTCCCTGCCCATTCTTCTCACCATTCTCTTGTCCAATCCACTAGCAATTCTTATTGAGTCTAGCTCCACTCTATTTTCCTTCCTTTCAACTTTCTCATCCTTAGTCTAAATTATTTCATCTCTTATCTGACCTATAGCAGTAACCTTTTAACCTATCCCCTCTACTTTCATCACTGCTACCTCCACAAGCCTAATCCATTTCCCACACAACAGCCAATACTAGCATTGTAAAATAAAAATCAGATCACGACTTTCCCTTGTTATTTATACCTTTCCATGGCTTCCCATTACATCATTCACTTTCTCAAACCAGAAACCTAAGCCAGTGCATTTACAAGTCATGTTATGCAAGCTTTAAAACACCTCAAGTTTTGCCCAAACTCCTCAACACAGATCTAAGCCACCGTTATCTACCAATAGGATTTGGCATACTTGTAGACACCTATTTTCAGGCTACTAGTGAAAAACTACAGCAGTAACAAATTCTGCCATTTCTTTGTGAATCACCACTCTTCCACTTGAGGATAACCTGGAAACCAAAAGAATACTGGTTCAGTGGTTATATTTTTGAAACAAATGTAAAGAGACAAGAGCATAAGGTTATAATTTTGTTGTTCAGTCATTAAGTACAACTCTTTGCAATAAGCACTGTGAGAAAAGGGACTATCTTCTGTTTACTGCTCTATCAGTGCTCCTAGAGCAGTGCATACCAGAGAAAATACTCACTACTATTTTTTCTTTAATGAATGGTTAGCACATAAGCTTTTATCTGTTTCTGAATTCTTCCTGGCTAAATATAACAAAACCAAATTTTGATAATTTCAGTTTAAAACCACCTCTAAAAAGATAATATACATGCAACAGAAAAGTTTAATCTAACTTCCAAAATGAATACAATAAGACAATGACAATACAGTAAGATAATTTTAAAATTAACTGCACCGACTGGGAAGACCCAGAGGGATGGGATGGGGAAGGAGGTGGGAGGGGGGATCGGGATGGGGATGTAAATCCATAGCTGATTTATGTCAATGTATGGCAAAAACCACTACAATACTGTAAAGTAATTAGCCTCCAACTAATAAAAATAAATGAAAAAATAAACAAATAAAAATAATAATAAAATTAACTGCACCGTATAACCCCACTCAGCTTCTACTATAACATCCTGTACACTAAGGAAAACAGGTGCAAAAACCAGAATTAAAGATAAAAGGCAAGAAAGCAGCTTATGGTTTTCACTTAATTCATTTTTAATAAAGTCTAAGAAGAATAAGAGCAAATGTACCTTCAGAGAAGTTAATTCATCTAATATCCTCTCTAAAATAAAAACAGGAAGTAACAGTATTATATACTGACAGATACTTATGTACACTCTTATACAGAATATTTAAGGGATAAGCTCCTTAACACCCAGTCTGGGAACAAATTCCCTCATGTACATGGTTTGAGGGAACAGATATGTTCCCCAAGCCATAGCAGGTTTGTTTATAAGTGACACTTTGCCCATGTTTGACTAATCATAGAACTAAGTTTTTCTTTTAGAGTTGACTGGTCCATAGATAATCAATTGGTCTATACCAAGCCTAAATCAAAAGGGGGATCAAGACACAGATAGATGCTCTGCTATGGTGGACACCTGTAAGATGTAAATCTTG